TCCACACTAAATCTTATTAAAAATTTGCACCATTAAAATCAACACATTTTTTCCAACAAGAAACAAATTTATTTATTCCAGTTGCATAAAATTCTGGAGTTCTGGATGAGCTCGTTGAGGACATTGTTTACGTCATCGTGGCTGGGTTTCCCCTCTCTCCAACGAAGTTGTCAAGCTGCTTGAAGGAGTGGTAGCCAGTAGGCGAGAGGCCTGGTGAATATTGCGGATGAGGCTAAGTTTCGTAGCCCAACTCGTTCAACTCCTGCACCGCTGGTTCCGCAACGTGATGCCGAGAGTTGTCGTGCAGAAGGATTGGTATTTTTCTGTTGACTGGTGCCAATCGTTGTTGCTGGAGTTGACGGTGCATTTCGTCGATTTGTTGGCAATACTTCTCTGTCGTAATCGTTCCGATCGGATTCAAAAAGCTGTGATGAATCAGCCTGGCTGCAGACCACTAAACAGTCACCTTAACCTTTTTTGGTGCAATTTTGACTTTGGGAAGTGTTGTGGAGCCTGATCGCCATCCAACCATTAAGCTCAACGTCGCCGGTTGTCGTACATAACCCGCTTCTCGTCGTACGTCACAGTTTGATGAAGAAAAGGGTCGTTTTTGTTGCTCAGACTAGCAGCAGACGACACTGCAAAATGGCGATTTTTTTGATTATCGTTTAATTCGTATGGCACCCACTTATCGAGTTCTTTTGTCTTTCCTATGCGATTCAAGTGAGTGGAATTGTCCAGTGCTTGCTCTAACTGTTCTGCAAGATTTCGAACAACTGTTTGCGTGTTTGCTTCCACTTGTGCCCTCAATTTGTCGTCGTCAAGTTCATTGGGACGTCCGCGGTCTTTCATAACTTCGAGGTCGAAATCACCAGATGGGAATATTCTAAACCATTTTTGCATTGTTGATTCACCACACTATCTTCACCCTAAACTTGATGATATTCCGAGTTCCTATCGCGGCATTACGCCCAGTCTTCCACTCGTACAAAAAAGGACTCGAATATCAAGTTGATTCGTACCAAAGTTAAAGCTTGTGAAACCGTTAAAATTATAAATCCTGAAGAAACCAATATCAGGTATGGAAAGAGCAGGCTTTATGCCTCATATATTAAACATACAAAAAGAAGGAAATTTTTATGTAGAGAATTGCACGAAACTTAAAACAATAAAATCGGGCATTTCATATGTTACAACCTTATATCTCAGCATCATTGTGGCTATCTTAGAATAACCATAGTAGGGTATTCCCAGGCTTTCACTATGCCCTGCGGCTAGTAGCTGTGATGTAACGTAAAGAGGTTTTCCGCTTTACGATTCAGCTTCTTCAAAACGATAATGACTATTGTGACTATCCGATCTACCGACCAATTGTGCTGTATCCGTTCCTGATCAACGGTATTTTCATTAGCCTCGGTCAAATATTGATCCTCACACAAACTAGTGGTTATTGTATCAAGTATGAGATCAGTAGAGAGAAAAAGTTAATGATCCGTATTGTCTCATATCAGTTCATGTAAGGTGTTCATGAGAGCGGCGAAAATTACTTTTTGGTACCAGGTTCTCTCGTTGAACCCCTTGTTTCACGTCGGTGACCACGTTATTGTAGAGTTGAGAATTCCCAACTATGGATTAGAGGTGATTGTATGCACATCGAGGCTGTATAATGAATTACATCGTCCTGCCGATGTATCATGTCAGTAGCTTTGTCCATCTACACAGTCCGGTGTCAGTTTTTGGACTGTTGATAGATTGATGGATTGCTGAGTTCAATGCAGAAGATCGAACCAACGGCCGATCCTTTGTGTATCGCATGGAATCTCTAACCACTGCTCTATACGGGCATCAATATCACCTCGTAGAAAAGGAACCTCGGACACCTTAGAGTCCATCTGGTGTTGCTTGTTCTTAGCGTCGTAAGTCAGCGTTGTTGTGTAGGTGATGACAGACGTCACAGATGTTACTGATTGGCTTAGCTTTTAATTATACAAGCTCACTGCAATTTTAATGACTGGCTTTAAATGACCGAAATGTTTATTTCACGTGGTACGAAAACAGCACTGGAAATTGTCACGCATTTTCTCCGTTTTCGTCACGCCGCGACTGCGTTTCCATGACTCGATAGCGGTATATCACTGCCTAAAAAAGGTNGAAGATGGCTTTTTTGTCCGATGTGGACTTCTCCCCATTACATTTCTTCCGTTAAAAGAATGCGCTAACTATTGCGCTTAAATCGACGGACATCTCCCTTTAAAAGAAAACTGAGCCAACCTTTTCTTCGAGGTCATGCACTTCTTTTTCGACGGCATCCCATATTCTCTGACGATCTCGGCATTCCTTACGCATTTTTAGGAAATACCTCAGCATCATTTTGATGATATTTCACATTATACTCTGCTATGAAAAAAGAATAGGCAGTAAATAAAAAGTATTACACTCTGGGATACTCCGAAAACCTGCGTTCACTTAACTTCGGCATGGAGAATCAATACCTCATTTAGTGATAAGCCAACGTGAAGTTGTTAAGAAATTTAACAATTCAACGACCTTCAATATGTATTCTTTCTTTGATGTGCTTGCACGAGGTTGATAATGATGTTTATTTTCGGCTAACGTTTCGACGTCTTCGTCTTCCTCAGAGCTGATGATCCGAGTCGATGGTCCTCGCTTGTTATTTGCCTCGACGTGGCAGCTTCGCCTTCGTGTCGAGTTAGGTCTTCTTCAGTGAGCCATCTCCTCGAATGAGGCATCGACATGACCTAACTCGACATGACCATCGACTCGGATCATCGGCTCTGAGGAAGACGAAGACGTCGAAACGTTAACCGAAAATGAACATCATTATCAACCTCGTGTCAACGACCTTCGTTTTACCCTGCTACACCTTAGCTGGAAAAATTCGGATTGCTGCAAAATAGAATGACTCCATGGAAATAAAATGTTGTATTGATTATTGATTATTTATTATTGATCACAACAAGATATTGATTCTACAGGGTACTGGAGCATCATAAGAGCGAACTGGAGTGAAATGAGGAAAAAAGTCGATGGCTGGTATGCGGTATGGCTAAACGAAAGAAAGGAAGAAGCTCTCGACGTTGATCAATCTCTTAGGGATGGGCCACGCATTCAACTTCTATAGGCATCGTTGGAGGTGATTGAATGCATATCTGGCCTTTACAATGACCCGCGGTGGCCTACTGATGTATCGAGCCAGTCCTGCTATCCTCCCAGTCTGGTACTAATTTGCCGACCCCGTAGAGATGGAAGACTTGATGAGCCACGGGCGCTAGGATCGATCCCATGTGTTTCTGGGCACACCGTCCACTACGTCACATGCGCCCGTGACAATATGACTGTATAATATATGCTGTACTACTTTGCCTACAAACTGCGAAGTCAACATGATGAAATACTTAGCTTCACATCTGAGTAGGACGAAATGAACAGATTAGGAAACCCACACAGCTTCCAACTAAGCAAGGAAAAAAGGCCAGGGCTCTGAGCACAACTGGACATCACGGTTCCGCCTGGTTTAAAATATGATCCACAAAACCGCATCTTACATAAGTACGGCAAAAATGCGGTCAGCTCCTAAAGAGTGACCAAACGGAATCCAAAAAGTAACTTTAGGACGCGAAAGGAACGAGTGAACTTCACTTGGGTTAACTTGCGTCATCGAATAATCAACGGAACACAAGGAGGTTATACAGGTGACAAATATGTTATTTAACTTTCATAGAAGAACCAAAGCACAGAACAAATAGACAGCACTATCATTTATCAAAACGACGAGAGAGAGAACGAAGTCAGCGCTTTTTTTCTGGCGCTGTCTGGAAATCGACGCATTGTGAAGCACATATCAAACTACACCTCAATCCGTGCATACGTACTACTATAGAGGTAATCCTGTCTTGACTCAAGGAAAAGGAAGAAACGAATTTGGGATTTAATATGTTCCTACGGGTAGTGGAACTTCATAACAGCCTTTGATGCCGCATTTAATGGTGCATTTATTAGCAACAGCACAAAAAGATGTATAGATAAAGCCTATTTTTAAGTTCATTACGACCCTATAACAGACGGTATGCTCCTTTTCAGCACACAATTATCTCGTATTACATTAGTAAAAATAACTATTTATGATCGAGATCACCTTTATAAAGATAATATGAGAATACCATATGTTTAACCACGGAATGTCATCTCGTAACAACACTGGTGGCAAGAAATAATCGTACCATCATGGCAAATCCTATAACAGTTTAGTGAAAGAGTAGATATTTGAAAAGCTTCTGTACATGAGCTTAAGGAAAAAAGAAATTGTACAAACTCAACGAAAACCAATGAAACTGATTGATAACACAGAAAGAAATGAAAGTCATCTGAGCCATTGTATACGTGAACAGGTAAGACAGATTCTCGAGAGTAAGTAACGTAAAGAATGCGACCCTGAAGCGAGAAAAGCACTCAACATGTACACAACAATCGCAGTTTCTTGTGCACATATAACCCATTCCGCTCCAGCGCTGTTTTTCATGGCAGCCTCAGTCGAACACCAGCCATTTTCCATCGGCTGCGTTCAAAGCCTTTTCTGGTTCCCACCCTTCCAACTATGAACTGCTTTCGATTAGTTATCGAATTAATGTACATAGTGCAGTAAAAATGCTCTGGAACTCACTGAACTCAAAATGATCACTATAGTCTCCATGCGGTCATTTGCCAGGCCACTATGGATACTATAGTGTCCATACGTGGCGGAATAGGTTAAGCACATCAATAAACAATGAATGACATCGTTTTAAGTGTAGTAATAAACGATCATAAAATACCTTCAAATGATAAAATGAAGAGCCCGGAAATCGGATCAATAAATTTCTGCGCACCGGGTTGTTAAACTAGTTAATGACCAACTAATAATAAATATCAATACTGCAACATGGCTAAAATACAAGCTATCAAAAGGCAACTCATACCTATCTCGTTTAATTATGCTAAAACTACTCGAAAGAACTGGACTCTATGATCCAGTCTGGAAAGCACTGCTGTCCTCGTTCACGAAGCTCTGTTTCAAATTGCGATAGAAGACATAGAACCTACAAAAAACAAAACTGAGTTTAATTCCTATTAGAAAAAGGAGAAGACAGAAAAGAAAGAAAGTAACTGTAGGGAGTTAAGCTGACCCTGCGCCAAACTGATTACTCGAAAAGAAAAACGTCAGACTTCAAAAATTAGAACTCGCATAGTTACAATGGTGGAAAACTTGCTTTGCAGTAAAAATGCTAAGGCCTAAAAACTCAAAAAATGACTTAAAGTCATATCAAGTTCAACGTCACATCAACAGAAGCTTGATTCATCTATTCCCTTTAAGAAAGCAAATTGTTTGAAAGCGGGACAATTCGGTGAAATGTGGATCAAAACCTATTATGTAGCCAGTAAGAAACACGTGGATGTTCTGTCTCTGCTGTGCGATAATTGTGCCCTTTGTTTCACATGCACGTTATGCTAGTCATAAGCAGATTACTGGGTAGGTGTAGTGCAGTGGTCGGAAGCGCCCTTCAACATACACGTGGAATCCATCCCCGCGCCCATGGCCCAACAAGCCCTTCACCCCTCGGAGTCGGCAAATTGTTACCAGACTTGTCTGGGAAAGTAGCAGCACCGGCTCGGATACATCGGTAGACCACCATGATTCACCATAAAGGCGAGATACGCATTCAATCACCTCCAAATGATGCTTAATGAAGTTGAATGCATGGCGCATCCCTCAGGAATTGATCAACGCCGAAAGCTTTATCCTTTTTTAAAAGAGATTACTTTCTGCACGCCGATTCAACCGAAAATGTGTAATAAAGTAAATACAATTGCATCAGAAATGGTTTCATCCAATAAATAAACACAATGTCTACTTCATGAAAGCCGCGATACTTCAACAACCTAGCTACCTGTTAGAATACTCATTTTCAACAGCACAGTCTGTAGAATTTCTCAGGGGTTCCGCTAAAACTTTGGAATATTGGTCAAATATAAGAAGTCATATGCTCTCGTGTGCCCAGAGAGTGTATGTCCACTTCGTAATCCCAAAGTCTGATAGACAAAACGTAATTTTCACTGGTGCTCACTCAAGTCACTCGAAGCATAATGGCACTACCCGTGATAAAGATGAACATTTTGAAAACTAGGACTAACTTTAGTGTTAGATCGTTTCGGATGTGCCGATTTTATATGACTCGCCACCGCACTCTCATCCCAATTGTGAGTGAATTGACAAGCAGAGCAGCTGTAACATGATGTAAAAAGTAAATTAAGGATAGACACACAAAAAAACAGGCATGACATTATAAAAATAAAACAAAACTCAAAATCAGCACGGCCGTCGATTTCTGGGATATGAACCTTGTTGGTCACAACCAAAACATGAACAACGGAATGCACTTGACCGCAAATTATAATTTTGAACACTAACAGATCCCATCTCTCCTAACGGTCTACCGCCTCACCGTGGCTGGGAGGTGTTCCTGGATTCTACGCTGCGATGTGCAGCGGGCAGATTCATCCCCGGCAGGGTCTTCGAAGCTGAGGAGTCTAGCTTTTCCATTAGAGAGCCTGGCGAACAGCAAACTAATACCAGGATCCACCACCGTTCTGGTATCAAACTGGCCGCATGGCGGCAAATTTCCCTCTGATCCACAAGAACGGCGACTGCCTGTGGTAGTGACGACCTAAGGTAGACTTGGGCCACGCTGACCTCGGGGCTCCAGAAAAAAAAACAGAAGTTAAACAAGCAAAACTCTGAACAATGACAAATATGCTGAGGAATGCACAACCAGTGAGGACGGGCGGTCCAAATATCCAAGTATGTGATAGATCTCATCCATCAACCGTGGAATTCACTAGTCTTTTCGAAACGAATTTTTTGCTTAAAAACCCCATATAATTTACTTTGGATTCTGTCTACCTAACATCAAAAAGGATATTTTCTAAGAAATGTTAGATAACATAGCCGAGACCATGGTTCTCCGAATTTTGGGTGAAATAAAAGTGTTCTGAATGTTGTCTTGCAAGTACACTGATTTCTAAGATTTCATACACATTTTGGTTGACCTTGAATAGCCAGGAAACAATCAATAACCAACCCATATGATGGCATACTCATATGTCTTTCCAAGGTGTGCGTCAGACGTCGCTTACGACTGATCGTAGCCATACATAGTCTGCACTTCGTTCGACGTCCGTCATCTTAAATAAATAAATCTTGCTGCATAATTTTACCTACAATCCAGTCATCTGTATCGAAATACAACCATAATGATGCTAAGATATTTGAAAAACTCCGGACCGTAGGTGTCTGCGGTGGGGACCGAACACGCCATTAATCTTTACGGGGTTAACACGTTCGTCACCAAACCATGCGGGTCAGGTCCAGAGTTTTGTAAATACCTCAGCATCATTATGGTTGTATTTCACAATATACCCTGTCGTGAAAATTATGTTAGGAAACAAATAAAACGTTAACATTGCATCGAAATAGGCTTTAATACGAGGAATTACAACCTTTAAGGTGAAAACAAAGGCAATTTCATTTATAAAGCATTGAATTCAATAGTAACCAAATTTTCTAGTTAAAATTTTAAGAATATAATCAAGGAGGGTTACACCTAACACAGCTCTTCTTCCTTATATGTGTCCTAGAAATCACAACACCAAAAACATTACTAAACAAATACCATGCTATAACTTTATATTTAGAACTACATCAGTCCAGAACTTCTGAGAACTGAACGTTTCAAGAAGTTATTCTAATAAACTCGTTTTGGCTAGCTAAGAAAACAGAGAATTATTATCTTAGCCGAGGTTAATAGAAAGTCGTTTCTAGAAATCATTAAAAATGGACACCTGAAATCGTTATGTTGGAAAGACGCTTCGGTCGACCTGGAAAGCACTTGTCATGCAAAGCAGAGAAGTCAGCTCGCCTTACGACAACGTTCGCAATAGGTTCCATTTCCTGCATATTGGATAATTGCTAATACTAAGTTGCAATGAAGTGCCCAAATGGGTAATTCAAATAAACAGTAATAAACAATAAGATAACTCCTTTACGCCTCCATACTATTTCTCTTAACGAGAAAACGATTCGAAAAAAACAAGTTCAGTAAGCGGTCTAATTAAAATATGGAGCCCATCCTTTAGAAAAGAATAGTGAATTATAACCTTAACCTATAATGTGACGTGAAAGGATGTTATTAATCCACCTGATTCACAATGCAGTTACATTTTTATTTACTTGCTTATTCTTGTTACCGTTGTAGGTATATTTCACATGGTACGCTCCCCTAAAAAAGGAAGGAGTAAATAAAAAAGTGACTACATTGTGGTTTATACTATTGGTTCAGCTTAACTGAGCTCAATACCGATATGCGCAGCTAGGTCAATCCCGTTGACTGGTCGCTGCTGAGAGCACCTATAAAACACGCTGAGAGAAAGGCGACATGAACGACCCGCATGGTGTGGTAGGGCACGTGTTCGCCCCGAAAAGGGCAATAGCGTGTTCGATCATCATCGAAGACGCCTGCGGTCCGGAGTTTTGCAAATATCTCAGCATCGTACGTATATTTCAACTGGTCTAGTTCAAATATGAGACAAACATTTGAGCATGAAAATGCACTAACCAACTCGTCGTGATTATTTCGGAGATGCCGTTTTACCAGTCGTGATTCAGGTGCACCATACTCGCACAGTGGGCACTGATGCAGTTGGATCATAAGATGTACCTCGGCAATATGTCGTGAGGTTTGACGGACGTCCTCGTCACAAAGACGACAACTATAAAACCTACATTCTATCGATACTTTTATCAAACAAAAGAAACTCAGAAGTACGTAAATTGAGAAAAAAATAGAACGGCATGTTTCCCTTGTACATTGTGATCTATTCCCTTCACTAAAAAGATTTTGACTGACCGATTAAAGTCTTCCATAACACTGGCCGGCAATTTACGGTTGATCCATCCAGGAAAACAACGATCGTTCCACTCAGCAATTTGCTGAGAATACTGCAGCAGATTCGCACGTGGCATCACATCGCTGTTATCGCGATGAGTAAACCTAAAAAACATCTAACACCTTGCCTTCAGAACAGTGATGAATGAGCGATTAAAAAACAAAATTAAAGATCTCACTTGATATGCGTCCTAACATCGCTCGAGCATGCATGATGAGAGAAGTCGCACAGAGGGCATTCATATAGTCGTGGCTCTTTCAAGTGGTGTCGATAGACATGAATCTAAATCGATTCCATGAATAAGCGAAAAGCAATTAGCCGACTGATCAGATACGCGTCCAAGCGTTCCAAATAAAAAGATAAAAAGGATAAAGCTCTCGGCGTTAATCAATCTCTTAGGGATGCGCCATGCATTCGACTTCATTAAGCATCGTTTGGAGGTGACTGAATTCATATCTGGTCTTTACAATGAACCGCGGTAGCCTAGCGATGTATCGAGCCAGTGCTGCTATCCTCCAGACAAGTCTGGTACCAATTTTCCGACCCCAGAGAGATGGAGAGCTTGGTGGGCCTAGGGCGCGGGGATCAGTCCAATGTGCATTGCCGGGTGCCTCTCACCACCGCCACACGCGCCACGTGCTTCAAATATGTCAACAAAGTTTGTGAATTCAACTCATAATAAACAGTATACAAATCGCCACTCGCTTAAAACACCATCACGAGTATCTCCCTACATGTCCCACCTGACGATCTTCAGTCTTCATTTCCTGAAAACACTCCTGACATGTCACCTTGGTTTCGTCGTTCACCGTTGTCGAATCTTTCTTTTTGTCAAAAGTACCCGGCTGAAATTGCGCATTCATAACTAAAACCCGAAAAAAACCACAGTGTGATCAACAACAATCGATAAAAGTAGACGAAACATACAAAATTAAAACGAAAAAGAACGTAACAGGAGCTCACCAACCTTCATTTTTCGCGATGGAAAGCATTCTGTAAATCGCTGTTGAACGCGATCTGGATTAAGCTCAAGATTTGATATTGGATCGAGCTCGGCGTTATTGTGCACCTAAGAATAAGAGTAAACACATTAAATTATAGTATGAATTATTTCTTACAGAGAATTCCTTTCAATAAAAACATGTTTTAGTGAAGTCACAATAACTGCTCGAGTAGCCATACAGTCACTATATTACTATGAATGTCTGTAAACACTTTCGAATCATTGCGGCTTTGAAGAACACGAAGGCGCCGAAATGTTTGCCACAATAAAGACTTGATAACAGCCTCGTGTAAGCTCATGAACACGAAAAACAAAGATTGTTTGGTTGCAATCTAACCAAAATGATGATTTGCATACTTCTTACACGAAGCATGTTCATGCATACGTGTGGAATTATCCAAAAAACAAGCTTCACGAATAGTCTTGGAAAGTTGATGGGCCGTTCGTATGCATAAAAAACTTACACGGCAGCGCCGCCGCGATTTCGGAACGTTTTCGCCATGAGCAGAAATAAAGGCCTCTCACAAAGATGTCAAAGATCTTCGTTTTCTCTGATACAGTTGAACCTATCTGTCAGGTCTCGCGCCCATGAGTGGGACGAGCGAGTACTTTATCAGCGCTCGTTAATTGGCTAGTACCATATACACATATACATCATATGTATATGTAAATGTATGTGTATGCATACATATACATATGTATATATATAATAATAATATGCACATATATATACATATATCCGATCTTTCATAAGATGATTACGGTCCATAGACCATCTCGGCGGCACTCATTTTTAGTTGGATGCTTGATGTTTCGTAGAATGATAGTTTTAGCACAACTTTCTTGATAGCACGTTAGAGAACAGTGAGCACATTTCCATCTCGGATACGTATTGCGTGATTTCCAGAGGCGCATATCGTGGAAAGAAGAAACAACGTTGAGTACATGTGGGCATGAAAGCGGGCATCCTTCCTCTTCCTCATTACTTTCTCGTAAGTTCCTCAACTTGCTCGTTCCTCTTGCCATTGAAGGAGAGTCTTTCACCATGTATCATTAAATTCAACGCAAACTGAGCGAAAGATAGAACTCCTATTGTGGCGAACAATAGGCGAAATTAAGTTCAACGACTCGCTGCTTCCTTACTGGGCACAGCAGAAGTTGTAATTAGATTATCTGTCTGCAATAGTTGATGTCTTGAAGGATTTCGCTTTCTTTCGAGCCTAGAATGGTCAAGTTAATTTAAATCTAGTCAACCAAACACCTCAACAACTGAACAGAAAATCATCGTACTTAAATTTCAATTCCACTGTAAACAAAACAGCTTCACATAGTCATCATTTTCTATTAGTCTCCACCAAGTTTTCCACATAAAGAATAACCGCACAAAGTTCGCATGGATGGGTAATGTGGCCCCCTAAACTGAAGAAAGCATCAGTCTGAGATACTGGGTGAGATCGTGCGTGGTCACAAGTCATTCCTCTCTGCGACTTATTTTTGGATCCACTGAATCTGTCCAAAACGTTATCAAGGCTTCACGAGCTAAGGTTTTAGATTCCTGTGCGAGGATAGTGAATTCTACCTCGAAACCATCCCCGTTGTGTGTGTCCTATGCGCGCTAGTGGAGTACAGAACTTCATGCTTACCAGATAGATGTCCTTTCAAACGAACATAAAGCGATTTACCCGCTTAGCCAATGCATTCGTCTTTGCACGCCCTATAAGAGATCAGGGTTCATTCTAGCCTCACTCGCCAATCATTATCTCTACCGTTAAAGCACATTATGAAATTCTCCGTCGTTCATAGACGGCCACACAAACGGTTACGAAATAGCTAGAGTCTTAGACTGTTCGGTGGCATTCCAATAATTGCTATCGATTTCTCTGCATCAATAGATATTTTAACGCGATACAGGCACATTACCCATCCATGTAAACTCTGTACGCTTCGTCTCCAGGTGAAAGACTCGTAGAAAACGGTGACTGCGTGAAGGAACTGCTTCTTTCCAATGTAGAATGTGAAATCTAAACTTCATGGCCTCAATGCTTTCTGTTGAGTTTTCTTTAAAAAGGCATTCGGCTGACTAAATTGCAGTCAAGTTGAACTTTCGAGGCTCTGCAGAAAGCTACATCCGCCAGAACGACAACAACTACAAATACATTGTGTAGTAACAACCTCGTTTGTGCTCATCAAGAAAATAGCGAAATTTTGATGAATACCGAGGTTAACATTAAGCCGGTCTTGGAAATTCATTTTTTCCATACGTACTATCGAAATTTGGTAGCATTCGTCACTGTATAAAATGTCCGGTGCTAAGCGGGTGGTGTCGCTAGTGAGGCCAAGGTGATGTAGGTATTCGTGATAGAGTTCGATATGCATGTTTTCTCCAACCGGTTTTTGCATGACGTTCTCGAAAATGATAACGAATAGATTCCAAGAGATGGGATCACCTTGCAAACCTGCTATCTCTATGTCGACTGTGACTGTTCAAATCCCACAAACTACCGTTACTCAACAACTGTGCTGCTACTTCCAAATCTTCTATGAGTCTCATACAAGTAGAAACGAAAGCTTTCTTTAAGTTGATGAAAGTTGGACGGAAACTCATACGCATGAAGTCTTTGCAGTTCTAAGTAGTATAAGTGGAGAATAACTACAACTCACCTTGACCATGTGTGCTTTTACTTCGTATGCATCGGCAGCACCCCAATTGCACATTACGCACTGGAATAACGGCATATCAAGGTGGTCTTTAGCAACATGTCGCAGGAAATTTGACGTTGGCTTGAATTCCTTCAAGCACAGCTGAAATTGAAACCGTAATACTTAGTGTTTCAACTGCCAAATGTCATTGTTAGGCGAAGACTAATTTCTTTTAAAACAAACTACAAATTACCCTAAACGAGAAATCTTATGAATTTAACAACTGATTGGATTTGAGAGTCAATACTTCAATAGCCAAAAGGCAACACTGGGAAGGTACATGGTCTCCTACTTTTATGAAATGATTATACACTATCACAGATCAAATTCGTGACGTTACCTGCAATAACTTCTACATATTATGCGGATTAATGGGTGAGCATAGCGCAGTGGTCGGAGACGCCCTGCGACACACAGACGGGATCGATCCTTGCACCCGAGGCTCACCAAGCGTTCCATCCCTCCGGGGTCGGCAAATCGGTACCAGACTTGTCTGGTAGGATATTAGCACTGGCTCGATACATCGCTAGGTCATCGCGAGTCATTGTAAAGGCCAGATATGCATTCAGTGACATCCAACGATGTTAACGAAGGCGAATGCATGGTACACGCTCAGTGGTAGATCAAAGCCGAGAGCCTTACCCTTCTTATCCTTTTCTATGAACAACCACAACGGCCCACCTTTGACATTCCCTCCCTTTCATTAAAGGTCTACTTCGAGAATAATCCGCTTCTCCTTAGGGAAAATGTGACGTAACGATATCATTTGGAAGGAGAAATTGAGTGGTATGTAGATTTAGGTTAAAAAGATTCTTAGCATTACGAAGACAATGAAATAACAAAATGAAATATGTGTTCACATTTTTTTCTTAAATTTTGTCAATAGTTCAGAGTTCCTGGTCAACAAAAGCGATTTTACTGACCCGACAAGTCCATTCACTGACCCGCTTCATTGGTTGACCAATGTGGTCCTTACTCTGTTGGTCAGGAGAGTCATCATAGATCGATTCATCCTGAATTTGGCTAAATTAAACCGGAAACATCTTTGTTGCAATTAAAGTTCCCATTATACAGTTCTTAACTATAAATTTTACTAAATTATTCCTCAAAGTTTGAGAAGTTTTACAAACCAGGTCGTTACTAGTCGAACTTGGTGTGCTCTCCTTCATCGAATCTGAGGTGTTCTCAACAGTATCGAGTTCAGCCTCCAGTTCCTCTCGTTTTATCTGAAGTTCACTGTTGATCCCAGAAAAACAAATAAAATACCTTAATGTAGTTTTATCATAACCTTTATTGAACACATTCATTGCCGTGACTTCCACAAGTTTTTATCACAAGTGAGTCAACTGAATAAATTGAATACAGTCACCAAACTATTCAGCCGAACAACACACCGAAAAAGAAAACATCTGCATACCTCTGATCTCTTGTCGTCATTATCCAACCACCAAAATGGCTTCCGCCGATGCTGCCAGCCTGGGAAGCAGTCCTCATTCAATTGATCGATTTCTTTCCTAAACAATCAATAAGTGACGGGGTGAAGTGTCAGCAATCGAAACGGTTGAAATAAAGTACGATAGGGACTAGTAAGTTGTGGAAATGGAAAGAAAACTGCCTCAGAAAATCGATTTGCCATTCGTAGAGAACACTTTACACTTCGAAAGATGTTCACAATGCTGTCTTTTTACTTACTGCCTTCAACAAGTTTTCACGTCAGGGTACTGTTTGTGAAACAACCACAATGATGCTGAGATATTTGCAAAACTCCGGACTGCAGGTGTCTGCTGTTACCTCATTATTACCCTTTCCGAAGACACGTTCACTACCACACCATACTGGTCCTTAGTTCCGCCTGTCTCTCAGCTAGTTCTATCGATCAGTGTCATCGCCGTGAAAACCGTAGAGGCAGAAAATAAAAAGTAAACATTGTGAATTTCAACTATAGCCATAGTTTAACTGGGTTCAATGCTGATTTGGGCTCCCCAGATCAATCCTGCTGACGGGTGATTGCTGATTGCAGTGATCGATAGAACTAGCTGAGAGAAAGGCGAAACGAATGACCCGCATGGCGTGGTGGTGAACGCGTTACTCCCCGGAGAGAACAATAGCGCGTTTTTCCCCGCTGCAGACACCTGCGGTCTGGAATTTTGCAGATATCTCAGCATCATTGTGATGTTAACAATGCTAACCTTTATTTACTGTCTACTACTATTTTTCACAGGAGGGTACGGTGTGAAATATGGCCAGCACATTCCGTCAACCATTTGCGACGCTGGTCAGCGGCTCTTCCTCAGTGGAAGGCACTTAAAAACGGTTCTGAGGAAGACAACACTGCCGAAACGTCAGCTACGATTTTGTTGTATGTGTGCTATTGTATGGAAGTAAACGTATGCTGTTATGCTGTTTAGCAACCTCGTGATTGCTGAGAAAGAAAACGACGAATTGATGCTGAGATATTTGCAGAACGTAGACCCCAGGCCAGATCGAATCACGATTACCCTTTCCGAGGGGCCGCGTGTTACACACTGAGAGAAAGACAACACAGGGGCCTCAGTGGTGGAGTGCGTAACACGCGAGTCCCCGTAAAAGGTAATCATGGTTTGATCTGGCTTAGTGTCCACATTCTGTAAATGTCTCAGCATCAATTCGTTGTTTTCTTTCTCAGCAATCACAAGGTTGTTAAACAGTACACGTTTACTTCCATACAATAACAAACATACAACACAATCGTAGCTGACGTTTTGGCAGTGTTGTCTTCTTCAGACCCGTTTTTACGTGCCTTCCACTAAGGAAGAGCCAGTGATCAGCATCGCATATGGTTGACGAAACGTCAGCTATGATTGTGTTGTATGTGTGTTACTGAATGGAAGTAAACGTATGCTGTTTAACAACCTCGCGATTGCTTAGAAAGAAAACGACGAATTTATAATCCAATGCCGAGGTTGATAAAAACTCAATCCTGGGACCTGTCTCAGCATCATTGTGAGGCTCACAATATTTAAAAACCTAACAATTGTTGATCAGGAAGTTAATGATTAACGAATTCAGACGAAGTAACTGTTTGGTCATGAATAACAAAAAGAGATAAATCTTGCCTGTATTCATTCTCGTGGGAGATCGGTTCCAGTTCCTTGTCATCTTTATGCATCCACTTTATATGCCATTTGACTCTAAAAATTGGGATTTCAAAGTTTAATCTTTCAATAATAATTAATAATAAGGTTGCTAGAGCAGAACAAAAACACACTGGTAGACTAGAAATAAGCGATGTCCTCACCTATGTACATCATAATTTGACGCAAAACTACACAACGGACACTCGAATATACGTGTTCGTTGCAGATGCCTGTGATAAACATGACGCTGACGGTCTGATTGAGCAACCTACAAATAACAAACAAAGCAAGGTATAAATGTACTCTCGAATTACTACGGAAAACTTTTAGTTCTTAATAATGACCGGGTAATTCACGATAATTTACTGACTCTTTATTTGGTTGGCCCACTCATATATGGATCGAGCTAATGGCCAGTACGAGTTGGTATTCACTCGTAGCAAGTGTGCTGAGAGATTAGGGGTCAAATGAATGTTGCAGCCACACGAATGTAGGGATCGTTCGTTTGTGGTTGGTTGGAAAGATTTTCTTCTCTGGAATTTTGGGACTACCGTATTAAGGAGTTCTTAGGTCAGAGCCACAATTAGTTGCTATCGATTACCAATTGTAGATGTTTTTCTCCTCGTCAGAGGGAAATAAGCGCTTGATTACAACTGCGGCTCAGAATGTAGATGTCAAATTCGTTGTCAGCTTGGGTTCCCTACCGAGAAAAGAATAACCGTTGTATATCACTATTGGTCATCATACCCTCTCCCGAATGAGCCAAATTATACGCAAGTACTATTATGGACAAAATTAAACCAAAATTGGCAGAGGGAAAGTGATTAAACTATATTGTTGAAATAAAGCAAATTCATATGAGTGCATAAGTCTAGGAAATCCCTAAGAAAATATAGTAGGACAAACCTGCGTGCCACAAATCTTGCAATTGTGCCGCTCCCTCGGACGTGTGCTTTCTTTTGGCCGAACAAGCTTCATTGGACGGTTAGGAAAACACCGATTTTGTAGATCTCGTATCTCATCCGCATATCGTTCCAGATTACTGAGCGGTTGCGCGTCCGGATAATCAGGATGTACCTGTAGTAGCAAGGATTTCTTAGGGAAACTGCAGTAAAACCTGCTCCTGCCTAGAAAAAAAAAACCTAGAAATAAAATGATAGACTCAGGTATTTATAATGGAATATTCCAATTCATTCCATAGTTTCAAGAGATAAAAATTATTGATGGTAGATCAGTGGAGATGAGGAAACTCAAAAATGTAATAAAATCCTTGTGTAAAACAAAATAAAAAGTTTTCCGAATATCCGGAGAACAGGAGCCCTAATGGTTGAAAAATTAAACAAAGAAACAAAGTGCTAGCGATTCTTAAGCACAGCTCTTCAATATTCCGGTTATATTACCACACTGCCCACCCAGTTGTGGGAGGTCAATCCGCCTAGCCGTGCTTCCCAAGATGAGGAGCCCGAATAAATACCATTGTCAAGAATCACCACCGTCCTGGTATCAAGCAGTCGCATGGTGGCGAATTTCTCTCTGATTCACAATGGCGGCGATTGACTGGGGTGCTTGTGATCTGAGGAAGACCTCGTCTAAGATGACTTAAGGACTCCAGGGAAACACAATCACTAAACCAGAAAATCTCCTGAGAATAGAAATTATCCTGGAATCTGCACAATCAGTGAAGGCGAGCCATCCGCGTATCCAACTACCATACTACTCACCTTGTGTATATGCTTCATTACGGTACACGCCTCGTAGCTACCGAATCCTTCACAAATGGGACATTCGTACAATGGTTTTTTCAAATGTTTCTGAGCGATATGTCGACCAGGATACCTGAGATTTCTCAATTAACAACAATGTGGAAACAAAAGGCGATAATTATACCTACCGGCTTTCTTCCCAACATAGGTGGCACGTTCTGTCATCTACGTGCAACCCTTCAGGAGCTGGTGTTCGTGGCTCTGAGTCATCTCGATCTTCATCACGGATTATCGAGTCCCTTGGTTCCCGACGAAGGATCGCCTCCTAAACCTCAAAACATTTACTACTACTCCTCACCGCTTACAAATTTCAAAACATCACCATCATCCTTGCCTTCAGTAACCACTTATTATATAGAAAATCTTTTAGAAGAACCAATTCATGTGCTCTGCTAAAGCACCAAGTTCCCTCCGAATAAGGGACCTGATCGATAGAGCCGTCGTGGAAAATGTGTTCAGTTCGTAAGACTTATTTTTCCTAAGAAAAAAAAACCGAACTAAAACAAAATAAACACCCGAATCATGGCGGTTACGTCATCGCTTTCGATCTTAAAATCCTTAATGTCTCTTAGAAAATGCGAATTGGTCATTCCGTTCTTCAATGCGGTGGTTTTTGTCGCTGCTGGTGCCGTCACAGAATTCTCGTCTGCAGACCACCATTGGGGCCGCTTTTGCTTCCAATCCGGGAAACATCGCTTGTTCCACATCTAAACCATTAAAGTACGATAACTGTGACTATGAAACAAGTTGATGACGATGAAAAATTTTAAAAAATCACACAATGCTCAGAAGTTCTTCACCTACCAGTATGAGCGCCTTATGCTTCTCCTCGTTACTGATTGGTTCAACACCTCGCCCATGCTGACTGGTGCAGTGTTTCTTCGCTTCCCACACCGAATTAGAATTCAAGTAGTCACATTCAGGACATCTACAAGTAACAGGCTTCCATTATCACGCATCTTACTACAAATCTCGACCTATCTTGAAAGTGTTACACATTTTCATGCATGACTTCGTTAAGTACGCCAGTGAAACGTTTAGAAGGTTTATAGCATACGGTTTAACTTAATATGCTAGAAATAAGCCCCTTCGTGCTCCAGGACAGCCTGATAGGATACGATCAATGAAAATATCCATCACTCAAAACTGAGTAAACTATCCGCGGATACTCTCTTGCCAAAAACAGTAGGAACCAAATTATGATATGAAAAATCACCTCCCATGTACATATATAAAGCAATTCGATTGAAGGCCTTTGCTCTAAACGACACATAATAAAAGATACTCACTGATACATATCCTCCTTTCTCACGTGCACCATGAACACATGCCGTTGTCTAGCAGTGTTACAGACCTCCACTCTGCACACCTAAACCCCGAAATCAATGGAAAGTCACATCTTTCGTTGCTTGTCATAATTTCACTAAACGAGTATAAGTGAAAACTTTCTTCTTTTATTTCACATGACCAGTTATCGCATGTAGTGCAGTGGTCAGAGGCGCTATGCAATACACGTTCGATTCGGCTCCTGGCTCACCAAGCCTTCCATCCTTCTACGGTCGGCAAATTGGTATCAAACCTATCTGGGAGGATAGCAGCAATGGTTCGATACATTGATAGAACACCACGAGTCATTGTATAGGCTGTATAGGCCAGATATTCATTGATTTACCTTTAACGATGTTTAATGAAGTCGAATGCATGGCGCATCCTTCAGGAATTGATCAACACCGACAGCGTTAACCTTCATCCCTATGACCTTTCACCACATCTATTGCGCAGATCCCAGCACTTCTCGCACTCGACTCGTTTTCCTCGCATTTATCGTCCACCAGGGTCTTCGAACATTTCGCTTGTCGTTTCGACTGCTGCTAGAGGATTTCATCATTCCTTATGAATGACGTAGAATGCTGGTCAAGTCGATTCGCCAAGCAATTTTGGAGATAGCCGAGCGAAGGCGTTCCCACGTGGATTGGACGAAACCGCTGGGGAGGGGCTCGAACCAGCAACCTACTTGTTGATGGCGTTCGGTACAGATCTATCTCTGACAGCAATACCCCCACAAAGCATAGTAAAGGTGAACAGATGCACATTTGACTGAGACGATGACTTTCGGGAACAATTAAAATATCCCACTAATGCTGGTATTCACCCAGACAGATCTAATTCCTTCCACCTCCGCAAGAATGAGGGCTTGGTTAGCCCTGGTGGCGGAATCGCACCCTTTACTGAGTGAATGGGTGTGTATGATCTTCTCTACTCACTAATCTAATACGCCCTCATAGATAAGGATGTGAACTTTTATGAGAAGAAAACTCACCACACATGTTACTTTATTCTTAGCTTTACTGTCAACCAGCCCGCTCGGGCAAGCTACGTCTTCCCCATTCTCGAGAAACACTGACGGATCAAATACGCCTGACTCATTGTTAACCTAAAAGAAACTTGAATGTAAGAAGAAATCGAAACCGCTTGCCATTCGTTTAAAACTTTCAGACCAAAGCTGGTTTTTAGCAAACTTCTGGAAATTTTTCACTGGAACTGAGAATTTGAAAACCTGATCAACTTATAGGCTTTGTTTTATCAATGTAAGAGCAAGTACGATCGTCCAGAACTCTTATTTGGGTTTTAAAATTGTTCAGAATTAGAATTTCCAAAAGAAATTGAAGATAAATTTTTAAAATTCCAGACGAAGCCCCGGTGGTTATTGTGTTTTAATGGAACAAATACCAACAACTACTGTGTATTCAATTCCTTCACTTACAAAATAAGAGTTTCGAAGAAAAAAAGGATGAAATTCGTTTTCTGGGTTCTAAGAAATCAAAACTTCGTCGTGACAAGACAAAGAAGCTTTTACCTTTAGGCAAAAATCTCTAAATTCTAATAGTTCTTGTTGAAAATAGTGGAATTCAATATGAGCCGAGATATGTTGGTTTAAAGTTGAAAGCTGCCTCTAGTTTCGCGCCGTGTGAGTGGAAATCAACACACGTCGGACACTAAAAGGATAGTAAATAAAGAGTAAAGCTCTTGATGCTGATCAATCCATGAGAGGTGCGCCATGCATTCGACTTCACTGAGCATCGTTTGGAGGTGATTGAATGCATATATGGCCTTTACAGTACTCGCGATGGCCTACCGATGTATCCAACTAGTACTGCTATCCTCCCAGACAAATCTGGTACCAATTTGCCGATACCGGAGGGATGGAAGGCTTGGTGGACCATGGGCGCTGGGATCGGTTCCAAGTGTGTGTTGCAGGACGCCTCCGACCACTGCGCCACACGTGCCCCACGTCGGACACTAAGTGTTGAAAAGTATTGTTATATGGGAAAAAAATATAATGCAAAGAAAATATAATGTAACGTCAATTTATGCTATTGCGTCGTTTACTAACGCATTTTAGAACTTTGCAAAGGCTTGTTAAAAATTCGCTCCACAGAAAAACAACAACATTAGAAAAGTCTGTGGACAAATTACTTATCTACTTTCCGTTCAATCGGAAGAGTTTTTGAGGTTCTCTCTTATCACAAGCACTTTGCTGGAATCAGTTCTTCAGCTGAAGAAACTACTTAGCAAAAAGTTAAGTATGGGAGGATTTTTTGATCGTTGGTGGGAAACTAACACAAAAAGTGAATAGAAAGAAGAAAACCATCTACACCACCTCGATGTGATGGCCATCCTGCCAACCCATTCTGCGCTTCGCAACTGCGCCGTCATACGACACGGCACTTCTTTTCCTATTAGATCTCTGGAAATAAACCAGAATTGTAAAACTACTAAAGACACATGTCAAACCTTAACCATTTACACGTAAAAGTCAACATTGCCATCAACTGGAGGGAAATCAGTAGTCGTTAACACACTGACGACCGTGAGAAATTTCTATTAGATTACCAGAGCACTTGAGGAGTTAAGAACTTGAGAGACTTGCAGAAGACTATGTTCGCTTACGACATAAGTATATAAAGTTTTTCTAAGGTGGTCTTTTTATTTTAAAGAATTCCATCCAAAGTTATAGGAAATTAATAAAGAAATCTTTGTAGGAGGAAAATCTGACTGGAACCTGACAGTTAACAATTTCATTGACTACAAATTCGTTGATTAAGGAAAAAAACCTCGAGAATGAAGAACGAAAACATGCGGTTCGTGGGCTCCAGAAGTCAATCTTGGTTATATTTATTTATTTTCTTGAGCGGGTGGGATAGCACAATATTTAGCGATGGTATCGACCAGGAAGCAAAGTTGTGGTTCGACCCGCTCCCCAACGCTTCCTCTAATCGACGTTAGGACACCTTATCCCAGCTATCTCCAAGATTCAATGGTGAATTAACTTGACCAACATTTTATGACATAACTAAGGAAGACGAAATCCTCAAGGTGCAGGTGAAACAACACGCGAAATATTCGAAGACCACATTGGACGGTGAATGCGAAGAAAAAACGAATCCAGTACAAAAAGTGCTGGATTCCGCACATAGAGGTGATGACTGGTCATATAAAATAAGTATAAAATAACAAATTGATGAGTCGACATAAGTATTGCGCAGTTCTCTAAACCAATTCGTTTATTCGCGTCGGTAATCCACGAAAGTCCTCGGATTTGCATATGGCTACCGCTTGGAAATTTTGGTCTTCTTTATGAACGTCGTTGAATGCTGGTTGAGTCAATTTCTTCTGAAATCCTATAATAGCTGTGCTAGTGCGATCTCAGACCTTCATGAGAAGCAGTCACCAGCCGATATGGATCACAGAGACCTTGACGGAGAAGTATTTCACCAATTTCGCGAGTCCGGAGGATTGAGAAGCTTGGTTAACTGAGGACGGACTTCAGCCAGGCTTCGTGTATCTTGACCAACTATACTTGGAACTTGTTGGCTAAGGCTTGTAGATTCTACCGAATTCATTTCACTTTACAAAGATCACCGTAATGGTTCGTCTTCTGCACTCATGAGAACCATGTACTTTTTCAGTCTTTCTTTGATAGACGCTCTTACTGCAATGCCACCAAAATTGCTTAATGCGCTGTTCAGTCACACCTCGGTACACAACAGATTTTACTAAGTGGAGTAGAAAGAAGTGGAAGCTACAGATCCTTGGCAACAACATAAACATTCTCAGTTAGGCAAGATATCGTGCTTTCTCCGCCTATGCTTTCTGTTTTGGGATGTACTTCGAGAAGCTAAGCGATTGAACAAGCAAGGTCTCGTCCGGTCGGACATGATGCTGCCCTGGCATGCATGATTGATCATTGTGGTAGTTATCCATGCGTTAAAAGTTCTAAGAACTGGAAGTTTCTTCGTAGTTTGTCAAAAATTCGAATTTTGAAGAATTTGAAATGTAAAATACAATACAGAAAAACCAAGTAGCGCGTAGTGCAGTGGTTGGAGGTGCCCTGAAATACACACGTGGCCGTTCATTCGATATCACACCCCGGTTCAGTGAGCCCTCCATGCCTCCCAAGTCCGCCTATTGCTACTAGACATGAGTAGGAGAATAGCAACAGTGACCTGATACATCGGTAAGTGACTACCAGCCATTGTATGGGACAGATATGTATCTGACCATTTCCAATGATGCTTGATGAAGTCGAGTCCATGGCGTACTTTTCAGGCATTGATCAATGCCGAGAACTCTGCTCATCCTTTATCCTTATAGAAATGATAATATGAGTTTTAGAGATACAGATCAGTCTGTTTAAGAGGTCCTTCAAGTTCTCAATTCCTCAAGTGCAATAATTGTTGAGAAATTATAGACAGCTGCCGAAAAAACGGCACAGTCGCAAATGAATTAAGGAGTTATGGCAATAAGGAGACGCTTAATGCACGAAGAACCTCCATCTGTGAAAAATGGTCCGGAAATGTATTGAGGCTTTAGCTCTTTACAAAAAAAAGATTGAAAAATAACTCATAACATCTTCAGTGCTTCTAATATGAACAAACCGTGTGGCCATTTATAGTGTTGTTGTTCATCAGCGGATTACTATTTGCGATGAAAGCCGAAAGCACAGCGGCGAAATCAAGTGGATCAGCTGACAGCGACTCGTCGTTACTCGAGTCATCGTCCGGACTAGTGTCCTGAAATAGAGGACAATGGCCTGTTGATTCAGTAACTGAAGCAATACTTGCAAAAGCGTTAAGTGCTAGTCATTTGCAAACATGTTGAAAAACTCAAACAGATACATATAATGGATAATAAAATGCTGCTAACATCATATATGAGATCTATGACGCCACGTTCAGATAGTTTAAGCTGTTCTTTCTTAAAAAGGAACGTAATAACCCAAAGGACTTCAATTTGTGACATTTTTAGGTCCAAATCTCTACCTTTGTACTTGCTGATCACTGGCTGGAAAAGTGTGACTCCTCCTCAACGGAAAAAGCTTGAGCATTTTCCGATGTGCTCACTGTATCAAGTTAAAAAAGGTGTGCAACTTTTGAAAAGAATAGTGCAAAACAAGATGGATTATATAGTACTACTTGGTAACGAATTTGCTTCTTAAAAATACGACCCTTAGCTATAGACCACTAAAATGTTTGAACAGTCTTTTGCACATGGAACAAATGCGGATGCCACCTCTCTACATCACTCCATTTCGTAAGTAACAATGGCGGGTATGTCGAAGAAGGAACTTAGAGGTATGGAGCATCAAACTAGTACTCTTTTCTTGGATATAGGGGGATTGGAGGATCAAATTGATTCCGGGTAACAAGGGAATCCCCAGAAACGCCTGAATAATCACATGACTATGGAAAACATGTTATATGCCCACATTGGAACCTTCTAAGCTTTCTAGAGTATCATCGATGGTAGTACAGCGCACGGCTTACTGATTAGATCTTTGATGCTGTCTAATGTGTGCAGAAATTGAAATTTACTTTCTATTGTAGCTATAAAAAAAATTTGTGACGGCGTACAAGTCCACAACTTCAAACGCTGAAGCAAAAGCTAAGTCCTGACTTCGACGACGAAACCAAACAACTGCGGACAGCACCAAAGGTGCTGCTCGGTTAGAGACTACTTCAAGGTGCTTACATCGGTAAAAGCCGAAGGGTTCATATACAGAGCATTACTACGAAAACGGTGTAGTTGAAATGAAAGGCGGTACATTGACTAACGATGAGAGATTTTTCACACGGTCAATATTTCATGTGGAAAAGGTCCTCTTCTCCATGAAATGAGAATGAAGGTACTGTTCTCTTCGCCATTTAGCCCTTGCAATAGGACTTCATTGCTATTAGCACGCTGTCGTTATATCCTGAAGAAGCAGTACTGCATAGATCAGACCGCTGTTGTAATCAAATATTCGATGAGTGCACGCGTGTTTCCTTACAGGAATATTCATTCTTTGAAGAGCAGAATTAAGAAAATGATTTACGGTAACGGCTAATGTGATATGAAGCCACTTTAGTACTTTTGTAAATAATTTTATGATGAAAGAAGGACTTATTTCACACGTACCCTAACAGATAATCCGTTAATAATTGGCTCAAAGGATTCAAGACGACTTGTGGATTCTTAAATAATGAAAACCTACAGCTTACTAGGCACTCTCAAGAGAATTAAGTGAAACGCATATCATGCTTTCTCACACCTTAATAAACTCACTTCAATATTCGATAAATAAGAACATATGTGTTATAGAGCCCATACCTAGTAGATATTGGTAGTTCTGATCTCGAGGACTAAGAAAGGCACTATAGGTCTCTAGTTTATCAACGACAGTTCCAAGCCTTCTTCTATAAAGCTTCTTGTTCGTTTATTCTAATACACTTGAAAATTTGGAGATTTTACCTTTAAGATTTAGGAATTTCATAATAATAGATGAGTTATTTTTTATAGATGTTTCTGGAAAATGATGACGTCAAATATTTATAAGACAAAGGGATATTTCCTCATAGTGCAAATGGGAACCCTCTTGCTACCCAATATTAGTAATGCGACATTGCATTCATTAGCGACAACAAGGTTCACCATCGACTTGACTCTCATACACACCTCTACCACAGATCTAACTAGTATCAGTTAGAATCCATTCAATAAAGACAGTCTACAGAGAGGTAAAGGTGTAAATGTAAATAAATTTTTATGGTAGTGTTTATTAACAACTTAGAATATTCGATTAAATGAAATGAAAGTGATGTCCATGTTCATCAGATTCTCAACAAACGTCAGAATTCGTTCGGAGTTTCAGATCCACTCAAGCCTACGCATCGCACAGCCAGCAACTCCCTACTCGACCCAGTCAACAACCGACACTGATCGACCTCGCTCGTCGACGAGGCCATTCCAAGCAACCGGACTGACGAGGAGCGTAGGCCAGCAGCAGACCTAGACCCGGATAGGATAGGTTGGTCATTAAGAGACAGCTGTTCGCCTTGGACAACAGTCAGACAACGGCCACCACACACCACAAAGCCACGACGAACATCTCATTTTTGGTACATTTGTGCCGTGTGTTAGAAACGCAGAGATATAAAAGAAAAGTGAGTTACAAAGCTTACCGATATTACGGGACTTGAAGGAGCATGAGGAAAACGTGGTCATTAATGGATACAAAGATTTTCAATAATCACTTTGCAATGCTACGAGAACAAGATTGCTTATTGCGTGAATCTCCATTAACGACGAAGACTTTAACTCTGCGCCCGAAAAGTCAGTTGATTCCCGAAGATTCATGCGTTCAATTTCAACACGCAATACATGAAAATGACTTTGTTTGACCTGCTAAGGTGTTGCTGAAATGATATGACTGAAGGGAGCATTTTTAAGAAGGGATTTCGGGAATTCTTTTTAACTTAAACATGAGTGATTGTGCTGCTACAATAACATGACGCTTGTAGCAAAAGCTTCAATTGTGGATAACGTTTTTGACCCTATCGACCCCTTCTTCACAACAGGAATGATAAGACGCCATTGTCTACAACAGTTAACTAACTCTTTATGTATCGTCGCAGTTGCAACGACTCGAATTGACACATTAGCTGTCTCTCTTCTTCCGTTCCGTCTACAGGGTAATGGTTAGTGGTGCCCTGCAATACACAGCGGATCGCTCGCTGGGTCGACCTCGCATCTCAACCTTCCACTCCTCTAGCGTAGGAAAATTGGCATCAGACTTATGTGGGAGGATGGCGACATTGACTTGGCAAATTGCCAAACCACCTCACGTCGTATAGGCTAGGTATGCATTCAGCTACTGATGATGCTTGATGAAGTCGAATGCATGGCACATCCCTCAGGGATTAAGCAACACCGAACGCTTTATTCTCTATCCTTCTCTTGTTTAATATTTGTCGAACATGAGACAATTTTACTTAACAATGGAAAGAATACCACCCTATTAGAGATTGGAGCGACCACGAAATGGAGTTATCACGATAGGACCTCAGTTCCTCAGATGGCATTAGATGCGAGTACCATCGTAGGCGTATTGCATAGCTGTCAGAATTTGTCCATTGACCTGACCTCAACAATTTCCACTGATAATCGTATTCGACAAAGTAACGTTACTTCACCGATGATTTCAACCTCTACCCTGTATTCAGTAACGGAGTTACTCGATTATGAAAGAGAGTATGCTTCGACGGAAAGTTCATATCGAATGCTGGTTTTGTTATTTTACTAGCAGCCTTTACAGAGATACCACTGAATAAAAGACTGCACTTAAGGAGGACAACGAAGTATGAATGGAGATACGACCACAAATAATAAGAGTTGATAAAGGATAAAAGCTCTAGGCGTTGATCAATACCTGAGGGATGCGCCATGTATTCAACTTCGTTGAGTATCGTTGGAGGTGATTGAATGCGTATCTGGCCTTCACAACGACTCGCAGTGGCTTAGCTATGTATCGACCCAGTGCTGCCATCCTCCCAGACAAGTCTGGTACCAATTTGCCGATCCCGGAGGGATGGAAGGCTTGGTGAGCCAGGAGTGCAGGGATCGATTCCACATGTGTGTCGTAGTGGCGCCTTCAACCATTGCGCCACACCCACCCTTTTAAGAGTTGATAAAGCCAGAATAACTGTACTAAAACGCTTGCTGTTACTCAGAACGGATCTAATGGCTCTTAGAACGAAATGAATAACTTTAAAGAAAAGAACTGCAGAACAGAAGCGAGTTTCGAACTTTCAAACAATCCAAATACTGACGAACTCAAGAGCTCAAGATCGTGTATTCGATGCTCTCGCACACTATGAAGACGAGATGCCGATACTTCGGTATAGTAGAGATGAAGAGAATGCAACATTTTGAATGGCAGACCATATAGATGAATAATAGCGAGATCAAAACTGTCAGACAGAAATTGTGTTGATACAACATACGAACGGAGCGCGTTTAGCGCTGTGGTTAGAGGTGTCCTGCATTTCACACGGAGTCGTTAGTTCGATATATCGCCTTTGGCTCGCCAAGCTTTCTATTTCTCCGTGGTCGGTGTACTGTTACCAGACTACTCTGGGAGGATAGCAAAACTGAACTGATACATGGGTAGACCATCGGAAGTCATTGTGCAGGCCAGATTTTCATTCAATCAGCTCTAACGGTGCTTGATGAAGCCGAATGCATGGCGCACTCTTCAGCGAAAAGTCATGTCAGTTACCATAGTAGACAGCTTAGTGCAAAATCAAAAATTACAACACAGAACGTAGTTGTTAGTTTACTATATGCATATCTTTATTAAAAAAATCAAAGACTTTTCAATAAGTCAACTGATTTAATGAGAGTACAATAACTAGACAAAGCTTTTGCTACTTTAACTCCATCATGTGTTCTTTTAAGAGGTAAAGAGCAAGAAGATGTAACTGCATTAGTAATAGATTAATGTGACCCAAAATTGATGCAAACGTGACTAGGTTGACCATGAAGTAGTTAAGTTCTAAATTTTCGCAAAAACCTTTATCACTCGATGGGAGCCAACATTTCCTAGAATAAGGAGAAATATCAAGCAAGAATCCAGTGCATTAAATATTTCTAAAAGAAAGATCTCGAGCTTAGAGATGACACGCAGTACACGCAACGTCTCTGGTTCTGTACTGCCTGGAGCTAAGCAACTCGATCCATCCGGTATTGGGAAATTGCTACCACGGTATTGAAGAAACTCCCTCTGATCTACAAAAGGAGACGAGTGCCTGTGTAAAACGTAGAAACGCGCTAATGGAGCTAACATACGGATCCAGGAAGAATCTACTCAATCATATCTTAACGGATATTAATAAAGATGACTAAAACTCAACTACTAGCCCAACCTACATGCTAATCGCAAGACCTTCGTAGATGTCGGACTCGAGAAAACGAATCGAATGTAGGAAGCGCTGGAATCTGCAGAATGGAGCGAAAAAAAGATCAAATAAGAAATAAATTAGAACTAAGCAGGGCTCTGTTCACATCCGATTGAGATGGCAGGAGAAAGCGGTTTTCATGGTACTCAACCGCCTCTCACAATGTTTGTGCATGAACTTTAAAGTTCACCGAAATGGGCAAATAATTAAAAATGTTGTCATTTTATGCGCCAACATGTCAGCAGCCCCACATTTCATGACAGAGTAGTAAGGACAGAGAAGTAGAAAATAAGCCTTTTTTGACAAGTTATTCCTATGAGTGTTGGATGTGTGAACAGTAGAGTATAGTGCCAGCTACGTGTCATGTTTATTTGTACATAAAAAGATAAAAAGGATAAAGCTGTTGGAGCTGATCAATCTCTGAGGGATACGCCAGGCATTCGACTTCATTAAGCATCATTAGAGGTGATTGAATGCACATCTAGCCGTTACAATGACTCGCGGTCGCATACCGACGTATCGAGCCAGTGCTGCTATCCTCCCACACAAGTCTGGTACCAATTTGCGGACCCCGAAGATGTGGAAGGCTTGGTGATCCTGCGGCGGGAGGAACGATCCCATGTTTACTACTGCGTGCCCCTGTCTTCTGCGTTACACGCCCCCTATTTGTACATATAGTAGAACAATGAAGACCGAATGGTGATAAGTGTCTTCTAAGGATTTTACAAAGTCTAAAAAAATCCGGTGCATTACTTTAACTGACAAAATTAGCCATTCAAAGAACTCTACGAGGTTTTGTTGGACAACAAGAATACCTGCATAAGGTTTCTTGTTTTAGAAAACAACCACAAACCAAATTAGTGAACTAGAAAAGAGCTGGTGAGAGCATCCAACATCGTAGAAACTCGTGCTGTGTTATTTTCTCCCTTTGTGAGAACACCACTGGCACAAAAGGTTTCGCAGCTTTCTTGTAGATGTTCTCGATGAATCAACCGTAGGCACAGGCTACTGCTACTACTACTGCTACAAGAACAACTACTACTATCACTACTAACTTCGTGCAAGCTTAACGCTGAGGTTAAGTGAAAGTTGGTTTACTCAAGTAAAGACTCCTATGTTAACCGAAAATGATGACCGCAATAGTAACAGATTAAGCCAACAGACTAAACACCCTCTTTCGTGGTCTACACTACACACAGCTGATCATCTCCCAGCCCCGACTGGGGAGCAACATCGCCCGCAGCAGCGGCGCCGGCAGCGGCGTCGTCGGTAGCCGTGAGACAAGCCTGCTGCCCGTCAGCGGAGAGTGCAATCGACAGACGACGACACGGCCGCGTCGTCAACCGCTCGGTCGGCCCGACTCGCGCTCGCCCTGTTGGTCGGGCCCCTTGAGCGACGATCTGTCGGCCTGTGAGAACGGGAGACGAGCAGACCCAGATAGCAACGACCAGCACTTTCGGCCAACGTCATCGTCAACAAAACAAAAAACATGCTTATGCACGGTGGGGTCTTCTTGGCTGTTAGTAGTGGTCCAACAGCATTTGAAAAGAATGTCGTACTGCTAAAACTAACTTCTAATTGGAAACCGATATAGACCTTTGCTTAGCCATCAAAAAAACCATAGAACACTGCACTGAGCACATTAGCAACCAGAAAAAGGAGCTCGCCCAATAAGAAAAACTGTGAGTGAGTTGGCAAACAAGGCCGGGCTATGTCTATGAAAGGTAAGGCACTACAAAACTGTCTTTTTGTAGTCTTACGTAGTCTTTCGGGTCTATGCCGTTCTAACTGAAATATACAGTTCCAGTACAAGAATGTCAGTTCAAAAATACTAATACATTCCAATTTAAAGGAGCTTATTTCCGATGTAGAAAGGTGACATTAGACCAATGACTGAGAACCATTCAATATCGTTCTGGGCTCTATGTAGGTTAAGCAGTGCGCTGAGGGTCTGTCGCTTCCTCCTCATTAACACGTCAAATGTCGTTGAATACATGTTTTTCGAAAGTCGTTGAATGTATTGAATATTACGGTCAGTAATGAATTAATAATTATAACTAGTTCATTACGAATTATTGTGAAAGAATTTGTTCTTGTATGTAATTTGGCTCAATAATGCAACAAGTTATTGAATGTGGTTCTTTTCGGCTCGTCAGATATCCGTGAGAGAGCACTCCTAGGTTTCCGCCACAGGTAACTGCTGGCCAATGTCGATCGGAGGATGGTTGGGTGTCTTGTGGCTACGTTTTATTCAGGACGACAGCTACTCTTGTGACGGTTGCGATTAATGCGATTGCTCGATGAACTGACCGAAGACGATGCAACAGGCCGAATCACACATTCACTAAAATCCAGTACACCTGCTCTGTAAACAATGCTTAAATTCCATGTGGCTATTATTTGGCTTAAAAAAGTTATGCGTGCTTTGAACTCAGTAATAAAACAGCACTGTACAGCTGCAGATGCGAAGGAATGGAACAGGCTCGCAGTGGAATGGTGTGGAGTGGATCTCTAACATGCTTACGCATTCAGAATCTTGAGGCTATAATTACAAGCTATCAAAATCAAAAACTGAGTTCTAACGGTGCAAGAGATTCTTTGCTAAACGTCGCCTCTTCGACATCGTCCCGTTCTTATCTCTACTGTCATCTCCACTTCTACTAGTCTTCATTTCTTCGACAGGAAGGGCATATCTACACTAGCTTGTTATACATATTAAGTAAGGAATTACTTGTTTGACGTGAATAACTTGTTTATGTAAAATAAGACACTTCCAACACTGAGTCATATTATGTAGTGGCAATACATTAATTGTTTATGTCAGGACATGATATCCATATCTACCAGTTTTCAGTTAGTCTTCTAGTTAACCAAGGAGACGGGTGTCACAGTGGTAATGATGTCATTCATCACGAGCACGGTTGTGGCTCGACCTCGCCGTGGGCTCACCAAGCCTCTTACACCTTCGTGCTCAAACATTGGCACCAGAGCTCTGTGGCAACACTTCAACTCTTGGAGCCCAAGTGGGAACGCTCTACCACGGTTGTATCAGGACTGGAGGAAGAATAGACTCGATCGGAACTCAATAACATTCATGAGGGCAGTGGAAAATATCAAGCGGCAGTCTAGCCCATGTGCAAAACGTTCGAAGATCGTCGTGGATGATGAATGCGAGGAAACGAATCGAATACAAGAAACACTGAGATCCGCATAGCAGATGTAAGGACGGAAGATTTAAAACAAATGGGTAAAAATGAATGATTAGACGCATTACTGTTATGGTACATATATATGTCATTTCCCAAAGATAAACTCAGTTCAAGACGGTTGCCTACTTTGAAGCTCACCAAATTATCGATGAATTGGGACCAAAAAGCGGGAAAGGTCCACACCATCCAAGGGAAATCAAGTTGCAGTGAAAAAACCTTCCTCCAAATCACAAGAGCCGGCTAGCACCTGTGATGACTATCCGGGAACTCCCTAAGAAAGCTATGTCAGGAATCCGAGAAGAAAACCTGACTCAACGGCAATATGACAGGCATGATGGAACCCTCATTATTCTTGAAGGCAAACCATCTATGCATCTATGTCTTTTCACTTTTTTCAATCTGAACCATTAACCCACTCGAAGGAATTTGTAACCTAGTAGCAGCTCACCCAACAATACACTGGTATACCTTTACATCACTGTCTCTATCATCAAGAAGTAAGTCTATACTTGCTGTGATAGAAATAAGGACGAATCTGGACGCACTACATCCACACATGTTTACGGGCTGGAATGAAGAACAACGACGGGGTGAGAGCGCCAGACCGCTAGAGTCCACGGAGGACACGAGGCGGAGACGCAGCGTAGGCTAAGCATCATGCAGAACAGCCACTGACAATCATCAGAACGAAAGAGAGAAAGAAACCCATTGATCAAGGAGGCGAAACTTGTCTACAAATCACGGCCAAACGAGTCATGAGTCACATACATGCATTCCCTCATTCCCAGTCACCCGAGTGACGGGCGGTTGCTCGTCAACTGCCTGTGGAACTGCGTCCAGGCAGTCGGAATACAAACGTAGTCAGATGTGCTGATTCTGAGTTAACTGAGCCGGAAGTTTTTAGAAGCTGTTCTGGAAGTAAAGCTCAACAGTCGTCTGTTCCAAAACAAAGATAAGACCTATACATGGTAGGACAACGATGAGATCTCGAAAGTCATTCCTGGAATTCTTGAAGAACAGGGAAAGCATAGCCTTGAACTACGTTGGTCAATTCTTCAACGCTACCCTCACTATACAGTAATTAGAGGAACATCGACGAAGTACCAGAAATTTTTTCAGTATAAGAGGAACTTCATAAAGAAGTGTCATGGAATCAGGAAGGAGTTTTTCTAACCAAGTTCTAGTAACAGATAGTGATTGATAGCAAAAATAACAACAATGACGAATACAATGGCAGAAGTGATAAATACTCCATACCCATTTGGGCGCATCATAACAAAGTAACATTAGCAACAGAACCCACTGAAAGAAGAAGACGACGGAAAGAATGAAGAATTTACAGTAATAGTTCCTCTCTGAGAATGATTAGAATTTTCCACTGAATAGTTCTTTCTTGTCTTTTCCCTGCTTCTATTGCAACACTTTCCTCCATACTTCAACTTGATCAAGTTTCACAAAACTGTAAGGTCCAATACTGGCGAGCTTTGGTTTGTTTTCAACCATACCGCGGCGTTTCACAAAGGCAAAAGTCTTCTCATCCCTCCTCCTCTTCCTTCTCCTTCACCACCGCCACGAGAAGAAAAACCTTCCTGCATACCTCCCAGTACAAAAACATTATCAGTCTTTTCCTAGTAAAGTAGCTAACGCTAGGCTTCGTGCAAAAATTGTGATCGCTAAGCTCAATACTACTGATCCATTTCGTGCGTAGTTTTCTCTCGACGCATATTATAATACTGATGGTTAGGAAGACCACTGGTGGCTATATTCCCCTCAGTTTGAAAACCAAGTGACTACATGTCGCTGTTTAGGAAGACATTCTCAGCTTTTACCTCTATATAGTCTCTCGCTACTGATTTTTCATTCCCAAAATGATCTCATGTTCGAACCCACATCACTTTCTCTACAAGAAATCTATTCTAACATAAAACTGACTATTCGAAATTTCTGTTAGTCTTGTTAGTGTTGTTTAAAATAACCAATCGATTAGCCAAAGAAGTTAAAGAGAGAGTAAATTTTTTACATTACGGAGATGTAAACAGCTTTTCTTCGCTTAGATTTTATGACGGACATCTATGCCTTCTGTCTGGATGTCTTTGTTCACATATTAGAAAGATCGGTAAGTTAAAAGCACATGTAAAAATTACAATAAAAGTCTTTTTATACTTTTCATCATTGGCTTTAGTATAGCATTATTTGCAGCACATTAAGTACTAAGCATTCTGTCAAGTATCTGCTCTCACTTTATGTAGTAACAACATGACCAGACTCGACTACATCGGGCGTCTAAGTAGAGTGGGTTACGTAGCCAACCCCGTTCCTCAAGTAGCTCCGCTGGTCCAATACTACCTTCTTCAAGTGTCACCTCACCGTCACTGTTACTAGGGTTCCTTTCAACATCGCGCAGTCACCACAGTTAATAATTTGAAGAAACGATATAACGACACCCATACGATGTTGAATTGTTCAGCTTCAGCACACTGACGGTGAGGACGTTTGTTGTCGTCTCTTCCCGCTGCACTTGTGCTACCTCCATTTGGTGGCGATGTGATGAACGACTTGCGACCGCGCTGGCTGGTCCCTGCCGACGGCCGAGCGGGGCAGCAGGCAGGCAAGGGGACGCGGCTGCTGATTGTCTCCCACCCAGGCCGTCCGTCCGTGCGTCCGGCCGTCCGGGCGGGTGGCCGAGCGGACGGCTCGCCTTCTCCTCGTCGCCCTGCGTCTCTTCTCCAGCTGACCTCGTCGCCGTCGCTGCACAACATCCGTCATTCGTCTCGCCGGCTGCGTCGTCTCTTCACGTCCATGTCTCCTCCTCTGCACCTCCTCGGCACCGCCGCCGCCGCTATCGGCACGACAGAGAGAGAGACGCCTCTCCGACAAAAATTCGTCGACACCAAGCAGACAACTCCAGTCACACAGCAGGTATATGCGTAGATGGGAATACACGATCGTCCTAACACCTAAAATCGACCGTAAACATGCCTTCACGTACAGTAACCATTTTTACGTGACAAATCGGAGCTCTCAAAAACGTGGCCAAAGAATGTCAGCACCTCCTCTGGAAGATGTGTCATCCCTTCACTTCCATGTCTCCCTGCACCTCCTCGCCGGCGCCGCCGCCGGGGCCGCCGCTATCTGCACCAGGCCGAGAGACGCCGCTTCGATGAAGATTCGTTGACGCCGAACAGACAACCCCAGTCACAGGACAGGAATTCACGCACATGCTAACTGTCGAAACTGAACCACCGGAATACACGAACGTCCTAATACTCTAAATCGACCATGAACATTATGCTCTTCGAATACAATAACCATTCTGATGACCGTGAATAGGAATACGTAGTTGAAGAAGTTCGCTGACTTCTCTGGAAAAGGCTTCTTTCAATCCATAAAGGGTGGGGACTGTCTATGCTGAAGACCTGGTAATGCTGCATTAGAGCCGTACCGGATACATAGGTGAATCAACTCGGTCAACATTCAGTGACATTTATAGCTCGTACCCAAATCCTAAGAGCTTCGTGGATGACGTGGATGTGAGGAAATGGAACGAATGGAAAAAATTTTGGAACTCACATATGTGAAATCGAATTACATGAGAAAAAAATCCGTTTTAAAAACAGAACCTGAAATATGGATAATTAGACCATATGGCCGCTTCATTCTATTTGAATTCAGTTACCAATTCTTCCAGTTTACCACCTGACTATTCAACAGTTCGTCAGCCGACAATTGTCACCTCTTCTACGATGCATTGATGTTCTTCCGCCGCCTCGTCTATCAGCTGATATCGTGATATTTGAAGCTTTTGGATCAGTCGTCGTCACGAGAAGCGCTCATCGTCGACGTATTGATGATCAATACCAACAACTTTCAAAGTAAACATATAAAGATATCGTGATAAATTCCAACTGAATGAAACACATATGCAGTTTTTCGTTCACTTTAAAAGTACACTGAGATGTCAATCTCATGCAAGGAAATACAGGATAGGAAGAATAAAGCTCTTGGCGTTGTTCAATCCCTGAGGGATGTGCCATGCATTCGACTTCATTAAGCATCGTTTGGAGGTGGCTGAATGCATATCTGGCTTATATAACGATTCGCGTTGGCCTACCGATGTATCAAGTCGGTGCTGCTATCCTCCCCGACAAGCCTGGTACTGATTTGCCGACCCCGGACTAATGGAAGGCTTGGTAAGCCTTGGTGTTCACTGTTTCCTAAAGATGCAGGAAGATAGGCAAATGTGTCATTTTGCGACAATTTCGAGATGTGCAATTTCTAAGACGTTCTTGAAGCAATTTCGTATATTTCTCCTCATTCTTAGATTTCAGAGAGCCCCGAACTTTAATGTGATGTCCACTGTTAAATTAGAGATTCAGAATCTATGCAGAAATTCTGAGTATCGATCCGATACGCTATGACATTCAATGTGACGGTCACATGAGGTGGCGACGGCGACCCATCTCCATCCTAGCATTTCCATCGGCCGGTTGGAAGAAAAAAAAGAACACCACGCACGAACGGAATGATGATTGACAGGCTTGTCGATGGGGTCCACAATAAACCTACATTACTAAAAGCTTTATGAGAAATATGTAACACAGCCGCTGATGTCAACTGGTAAGAAACTTCCTAAGCTCTAATTCCGAAACCGAGAGGAGCCGAATTTCACCATTTACAAAAGCTGTAAAAAACATATTCTGAATTTAATGAAAAAGTGTGTGCAGAATACAGTAACTTCCATTCCCAGATTCCTTCCTAACACATCACGCTTTAGTTTTGACCATGTAAAAGCCATACAGTATTCAGCGTACCCACTATGTAGCTTGCATGACATGTAGTTAGCCATTTTTCATTACATATCACTTTAAAACTATAACGACCTTAAAAATTTATGTAAGAACGCTTAAAATGCATTTTCATAAATTTGTACTGCCTTTCCAATCGATAAAAAGTGTGCAAGTTTCAAAACCTTGGTGCACTTTAAACGCTAATAAGGACCAGAATAAAATATAATACAGTTTGTCTTATGGAAGAAGTAGATCTTGTAGATTCCTTACGATATTCAACTACTCTATCCGCTCTCCCTACCATGTCTGTCAATGTGGCAGCTCATAGCCTGCTTGCTCTCAATATCCAGAGCGGCTCCTCCCTGCCAGCTCCTCACGGCCTCGTCGATCACTCCAGCTCGCAGCCGAGCAGCCAGCCAGTCAGCACGCCAACAGTGCGGTTCCAGCAACAGCAGCAGCATCGATCCTCGGAGGCATTGTTCCGGAGGTGGACTGCTGTCCGCCAAGACGGACTACTCGAACGTGACCCATAGATCGTATAGATTCCTAGCTATCTTCAGCTACTCCATGTACTCTCTCTACCACCACGTATGCTAATTTTACAGCTCACAACCTGCTTGCTTTCAATATTCACATCGAATTTTCCCTGCCAGCTCCTACGGCCTCGTCGGTCACTCCATCTCGCAGCCGAGCAGCCAGCCAGCCAGCCGGCCAGCCACTAGTGTAGTTCCAGCAGCAGCAGCAGCAGCATCGATCCTCGGAGGCATTGTTCAGAGGTCGACTGCTGTCCAACAAGCCGGACTGACTCAGCCGCGACGGCTTACCGTAGTGCAGAATGTCACTTGAATGTAACGTCCATGACAACGTAGCGAATCATTTTAACTCTACTTATTCGTAAATTAGCTCCAAACTGAGCAAAATGAGTGGAATGTTTTAACAATACTAAACTGCCTCTTCCACATCAGCTGGAGCGACTTCTGAGGCTTGGCCAAGAAGCTCTTCTTAGTAGTATAAGCTGTAGATCGACACCTCGTTTCTCATCTATCACAGCCACCGTTATCCCAGTACACATCCACCATCGTAAGTGATGAAAATATTGCTATATAATGAGGATTATCCACATATAACCAGGATATTCTCTTAGGTAGAAAATATGGCAGAGGCGGAGTACAAAGATAAAAATTATGTTGAAAAAACGGTTACTTCTTGGAGTTTCAGATTTACTAAAAGACCGTTAAGTTTAGAAATACCAAGGATGTTAAAAATCCCAACAGAATAGAGGGAAAGTCGTTTTTAAGATTTCTAACCATGAAGCAATACTTCAAAATCTGTTTACTTTCAGTCCAAATTTTGTTGGCGAAGATTCTTAAACCTTTGAGGAATTTTCATTCTCTAACCAGAGCCTTGAACTAAAATGAACAGTAACCAAGTAGAAAACGAAATATACGTTCTGAAACCAGGACGTCCAATTCAAACCCTCATCCAAATATGCAAATGGCTAGTACAACTACTGAAGAATTAAGGGTCGTGATGAGAAATGAGAAGTTTCGAAGAGAATGAAGGACGAAAGAAAAAGAAATGAAAAGATTTGCCTTTTCCATGACTACCAGCTGGAAATGCTTGTTAAGAAGAATATTGAACAATAACTTTTAAATAACCGGTGTTCTGAGAATATCTCAAAATCAACAGACTAAGGCAACATTAGTGGCCGTCTATCAAACACCAAGCAAAAGAAAAGATACGTAGGAAGTTGACAACAAAGAAAAAACACAGAACCATTATAGCGTTGTTAAGGCAATTAAGTCAGAAGGCTTTTAACAATAAAGCGGAAGACTTTTGCGAATGCCCTTCATCAAACGATAAATTCGTAAGAGCAGGAGGATAGGAGGAAAAGTGTCAACGAAAATAGAAGCCCGTCATTTCGACCATGAACAGGACACAAAGAACTCTCAGAACGGGAAGAAATTTCACGGGCAGGAAATTTAACCCTCGTTGATTATAGGAGTTGAAGTACATATTTATTTATATTTTAGATAGGATTATTTTCCTTTTTTAATGAAAGTAAGTAAAGTGAATGGCAGCGAAGTTTAGAAAAAAGTGGTTGATGATCGTTGTCAACACGTTTTGTAAAGCTTAAAACCCATGAATTCTTGCTATGAGATTCAATCTATAAAATAAACACAGTTGAATCATGGACGTATGAGAGGAAGAAAAGAACTATTCCATGACAATCTTGACCTTTTTATTTACTGCCTATTCATTTTAACGGCAAGGTATGTTGCGAAATAAAACCTCTATAATGCTGAGATATTTGCAAAATCTCCGAGCCGCAGATGTTTGCGGTGGGGAACGAATGTGCTGTTGTCCTTTCCGGGGAGTAACGCGTTCACCACTACACCAGCGGGTCCTTCGTTTCGTCTGTCTCTCAGCTAGTTCTATCGATCTTTGTGCCATCAGCAATCACCCATCAATGGAATTGATCTAGGTAGCTCAAATCGACAATGAACCCAGTTAAGCTGAGCCTATAGTTATAATCACAAACTCCACCTGCGGTCCGGACTTTTGCAAATATCTCAGCATTATAGAAGTTATATTCCATGACAAATCGTGAACCAAAGAAAGAAGAGAAGAAAAGAAGGAAAACAGCTCGATTTATCCGTGGGATAATCTAGGCACAAAACGCCAGTAACTTCTAATAAATGTTCGTTATTCCCAGAACAAACCTTCTGTTAACCTCGACAGTGATCAATAATTTACAGCTTCCCTGATAGCCGCATATGAGGATGTTACTGTGCTCTTCATCCAGAAAAGCTGGCATTTCAATGGATTTCGTATTGGAAGGGACCAGCGACTGCTGGTTATATTATAATTAAAGGGTTTCTCAAGGAAAAAAGAGGTAAGCAGATACGAAGAAAACATTCAAGGTCACAAGGACACATAGTATATTTCTTCATTTCGAATGATATGAAGAAGCATCATCGTATCGAAGGCCGAGGCATTAGCCAAGAAAATCGGGAACGGCTGGCTATTCTTATATGATCGAAAAACGTAAAAAAAAGTAAGAGAGACAATAGAAACGACGAAATAATTTCAAAAAATAGAAGTGAAAAAAGTTGCCAACGTTCTTCGTTCAGAAACACTAACCGTAGCGATCAGCTGATCGCCGTCAGTCGTCGCTGTTGAGCAGATCTGATTAATCATCGGATCGTTAGGTGGTGTTCCATACTCGACACACGCCATTAACCAGTAGTGAATGGAACTCGACAGATCCGGATAGAGAAACGCCTTCGCGACGAACTTCGCATGGGCTTCGATTAAATGTTGTCTGAGAATTTTGAAATTATTTTGAATAAGCCAAAAACTAATGAAAATGAATACTTGTCGAAAGTAATAAACATTACAAGGTACCAACACCATCAGTGAAGTTTTTGTTAGAATCCCATGGAAACAATGGCTTTTTAATAGCTCTCTTTAGAAGCTAAGCGAGAGAATATAAACATACTCCGACGGTGATTCACTTGTCCACTCGCTCAACCCATGTTCCACTGCATTTGTTTATTTGCAAACGGTTTTCACAAAAAAGATGTCATAAAACATGAAAAAGATCAGCGAGTCCTTGAAACGAACAGAACACATTAGGTAATTCTTGCATGTCACAGGTTCGAACGAAGGAGACCTTACTGGCCTCCGCTTGAGTAAGTCGACGATCAACTGGTGGATTGATTATCACCGTCAGAGGTCCGTATACTCCTTTCTAGAACCTTCTGATACCGAACTGATTCAAAAACGACATAATGCGAGGCCCGCTTCTCCAGATTTGCTGCATTCTTGTGGTTCCCACCGTCATCCAAAACACTAGTTATGTTTTAATAGCTGTCATGCTTCAGCGCCATAGTACACCAGAGCGGCAAAACGTATCAAACTACCTTGATTATTTTTAGTTACTGAGAGAGCGTTATGTAGTCACAACTTACTAGCAAACCTCGTACTACTCGGTAAGGTTGTACATTCGAAAGGATCCATGAGTCAGACGCCGTTTCATAAAGTTACTCTATTGTGCGCTTAGAAAATAATGGTGAACTTGACCAAGTGACCCAAGATTCTGTAATGTTGTAATTTCTGTCACATTTTTTTTCAAAAACAACTTCATGGTTGAGTAATTTGGCACCGATTTCGGATATTCCGGAAGCTCTGAATGCCTTCTTTATCTCTTCTAAGCCTTCCTACTGCTTGATATTGTAGTCCAAACATCTGGAGCAATTTCACAAGCGCATATTTGTATTCGCTATTATATCCGATATATATTTTATACCCAATTCGCCCGAAAGGCAAAACAACGCACCTAATGCCCTCTCCTTGCTCATATGAATTACTAGAACTTTGGATGTTTGTGATCTCGTCTGGACGTTCTTCGTAAACTGTTTGCTCGCCGTTGAATACGAATTTTGTCGTATTCGTCTTCCCATTCTCTTCAATTCGTGCCGTCTCACTAGCGGTGGTGGTGGTAGTGGTCGCAGTGGTGGTGCATTCGGCGGCTACTTCACCATTTCCACTGTCCGCGTCACTGTTGCCGGCTGGACTGCACAGCAGACAAGGAACCAGCGGCATCCACAGCTCACTGAATGGGAGCGGAAATGAATGAGTGATGATAATCACTCAGAACGCCAGAGAATTAGTCAGCAATACAACGATAAAAAAGAACAGAATAATTTTCGACATAGTTAAAATCGGATAAAGGATACATTTGACAAGGTAGTATAGCAAGACTGCACGTCGTAAACCAGTTAATGCCGCGGTGAAAGAAGAAGGCTATCGTTCTGAGCGAAGTTTTACTTTAAAAAAACGACATGATGAAGTCGAGTTATAAAGCATGAGAGATCAATGGAGACCAAAGGAAATAGCGATGAGAAATGCGTGGGTGGCTCGTTCTTCACTGCACTGGGTGGGCGACAAGAAGGGCGGCGAAGATAGGTGTGAAAGTGCCAACGGTAATGATTCCTTTACCCTTCACAAGGTGCAACGACTACAAAGTTAGTTTTACCTATGTGGCCGCGGTCATTATTAGCATATCAAAAGGATTTCAAGGAGGTCAGGTCACAATGGATCGCTTACTATTTGTAATGATCATCAAGAATAAGAGCTGGACAGTACTCAGAAACGAGAGTGTTCAATGATGCTAACGAGTTCTTCTACGAATAAACAAGAAAGAAAAAAATGACTGACAAGACAAGAAAACAAGCGTCAAGCACAATATCGCGTCGGAATCAATGGTGGTGTGTTCGACCGAAACGGCATCAGCGAACCGATCACGGTGTCGAAGAAGCAAAGCATCAGTATCGATGGTCCAGATCAAGAAATTTTTATCGAAAAGACTTCCACATTGATTGGTATGGTTTTAAAGACCATTGTACGTCATGTGCAGTTCTCCTCCAAAAGTCAGCTAATAGCAACCCACTGATCTATAGGTTTTCACTATAATGTGATTTTAGGAATACATATTGACTATTGTCAATCAAATGGGGTACATGTATAGCAGTGGTTAGAGGTGCCTGTATTACACATATGGTCGTTAGTTCGATCTGAAGCCTAACTCTCACGAAGCTCTCTATTGCTCAGGGGTCGCCAAATTGGTCTCGGACCATTCTGAAGGGCAGCAGTACTGACTTGGCATATTGATAGGCCAGTGGAAATCATTGTATAGACCAGATACATATTTGTTCATCTCTGACGATTCTATGAAAGAACGTAATCGAATACATAGCTTATCCCTTAGGTACTGATGTGCGCTTCCAGTTTAAATTAAGGCAATCCATGCAATAGACACAGTACACGTGTATGTAACAATTTAACAGTTTCGTAGGCAGTACTGTTAAAACTAAGTAGGTTAGACAGGTCGGCAGGGAATCTTGATATTTTTATATTCGATCAAAGAATCGAAAACGCATAAAATGTTAGATCTGAAAATAGGCCATATTTAAAGGATAGAGGATAAAGCAATTGGCGTTGATCAGTCTCTAATGCACCACACATTCGACTTCATTAACTATCGTTAGAAGTGATTGAATGCATATTTTTCCCCAAATAATGGCTCACAGTGGCTTACCAATGTATTAGTTCTTTGCTGCTATCATCATCGACAGGTACGATACCAAGTTGTCGACCCCGGAGAGAGGGAAGGCTTCGTGAACCAAGGGAGCGAGATCGAGCCATTCACCACGTGTGTATTGCTGGCCACCTATAACCACCTTTAACCACGTTCCCATGCAGCAAAAATCGGCAGATCACTGTAATTAGTTGTTATCCAAAAACACGTACTGATATCTAGCAATGTGATAGTAGGTTAGGCCAACCAGTGACCACCATTCGACTGAATGACATTACTGTAGTCAACGGCACCGATGCAGACGTCACTGACGACGACGACGACGACAGCGATGACGACAAATACAGTGGTACCAAGCGCAGATAAGAAGCTGACGATGATTGGGAATGGGTGCAGGAAAGCGTAAACGACGAATCTCATTACGGTCGTATGTGACTCCGACGGTAGAAGACTATCTGGTTTCTTAGTAGTTTCACTATCGCATAAAGACACTCAAACCGTCGTATTAGGTTGTTCAGAAATAAATGGGCGCTCTTAACTATATTATTTAAGACTTCACAACTTGCTTCAAACGAAACGTTATTAATCAAAATAGAAACCATTTGAATCTATACGTTTTTGCCTACGAGAAACAGACTCCACAAAATTCTGCAGTTCTGGAAGCGATGGATTCGTTGAAGGTATTCTTTGTGTCATCGTGGTTGGTGAAGCACTTCGCTCGCAGGAAGTTGTCAAGGTGCTTGAAGAAGTGAAAGTCAGTCGCACCGCTGGTTCCGCAACATGATGCCGAGAGTTGTCGTGCAGAAAGATTGGTATTTTTCTATTGACTGGTGCCAATCGTTGTTGCTGGAGTCAACGGTGCATTTCGTCGATTTGTTGGCAATACTTCTCTGTCGTAATCGTTTCGCTCGGATTCAAAAAGCTGTGATGAATCAGCCTGGCTGCAGACCACCAAACAGTCACCTTAACCTTTTTTGGTGCAATTTTGACTTTGGGAAGTGTTGTGGGGCTTGATCGCAATCCAACCATTGAGCTGAACATCGCCGGTTGTCGTACAGAATCCACTTCTCGTCCAACGTCACAATTCGATCAAGAAAAGGGTCGTTTCTGTTGTGGAGAATAAGAGCAGATGACACTACAAACTGGCGATTTTTTAAAATTATCGTCTAATTCGTGCGGCACCCACGTGTCCAGCTTCTTTCGTCTTTTCTGTGCGATTCAAGTCAGTGGAAATTGCTCCTGTGCTTACGCCAAGCTGTTCTGCAAGCTCTCGAGCAGTTGTTCGCGTGTTAGCTTCCACTGCTGCTTTCAATTCGTGGTCGCCAAGTTCACTAGCACGTTCACGGCCTTCCTTATCTTCGAGGTCAAAATCACCAGATCGGAATTTCCGGAACCACGTTCGCACTGTTAATTCACCGACACTACCTTCATACCAAACTTCATTAACGTCTCGAGCCGTCTCTGCTGCACTACGACCGAGTTTGAACTCATAGAAGAAAAGTTGACGAAAATTTGTTTTTGACATCCAAAATTGGAAAGCTCAAAACTAGTAAAAAAATTTAACTTTTAACAAAATATAAAGGACGGCTTGAAAGAGCGTAATATCAGGTTTCTGATGATATATAATATTATAAGGTACAGAATACATTTTATTGGTAAAAAAATACACTAAAACAATAAATGTTTCAAGACGCTCATTTATTTCTGAACAACCTAACAATACTTGGTTACACTGGAAGTGTAATGGAAACATGAAGACTGATTCACACCAAAACAAAAGCTTTAACACGTTCGCGACGAAGCTGGATTTTCGATAGTCGACGGATGAATTTCCGATCATCAGAGTACTTAAGGAATCAAGAACATTGTAGAATTGTAGAACGAACTTTGCTCTATCTCATTAACCACGTATACGGGTTTTATAGAGTGAGCTTTGAAATTTAAGTAGAGTTCGATCATCTAGAAATTAGCAATGAGGTCTAGGTTTGTAGAATTTCTAACAAAACATGGCAGTTGCTAGACAATACAAAGGAAAAGACCATCTTGTTCTCCTAGGTGAATTTTCGCCTCCTCATTTGCTTTCGTTTCGAAATTCGAGCTATGAAGCAATACAGAGGAAGCAATATGCTTCATGGGCACGAGAAAATCCGAATTTTACGTCACAAAATAAAACTACTTTTATCCTGTAAGAAAAGTTTTTAGATTCCAATGGTTTTCATTGTAATTGAAAAGATTTACTACAAGCTGAGGTAATTGAGTAGAAAGCGGAAACTCTTTCCGCAACGTATGAGTTCTACAGAGCTCATGTCGTCCCGTAAGTCTCAAAAGAAATATTCCAGGGTTCATTTTCATTGAAAATTTGTGAACCTGATTGAGGTGAAGACGATTGTTCATCAACTCTTTTGTCTAATAATTTCAGCAGTAGCTCTGATTCAAATACATCTGACCCTAAAGCAAGGCACGGACTAAAAAGCTCACAAAACTATTGAGAAACGAAGAAAATACTGTAACAACAACAGTAATTGTTTTCAAGACGTTTTGAACATTCCGTTTAGAAAGTTATGACTTTATATTACAAGGCATCAATAACAACGTTCAATAAAAGCTGAATTTACATCAGATGCAATCCAAATGGAAAAGTGGACGATGCACAGAGCGACGCTATGCAGTCAGAAGCACAGTTTAGGTTAGAAAAGGTAGGTATGCTGCCTGCGTAGTTAAATATAAATGTGTGGACATGACTTTTTCTTTGTGGTGGCTGACAAACAGTTATGAAACCGTCTGCGACCCCAACTGTGGAACTTACGAAAGAATACGTGATGATGAACTTGTAGGTTACCAGGAGAAGGAGATTCACAATCGTCTGATTCCAGACCTGGACGTCGTTCGTGGTGGTGCGGTAGCGAGACGGCGAGCTGAACACACAGGGCAGCCTGCCGCGCTCCACGCCACGCCTCCACCCGACGCCGCCGCCACCTGCCGGCCGGCCGGGCCTCCGGTCGGCCGCCCTGCTTGCCGCCGTCGGACTACAGTACACTCAGCATTCATCATCACGGAACCGGATCGCTTAATGACCAGGAACGAAGAATGATAATTGAGATGTCTGCCGTTTGGGACGAACCACCGTGGACCATTGACTCGGATCAATCCGGCCCTGGAGAAGACAAAGACGTGGAGATGATATCCGAATAAAATTCCCATAAAAATCTCGTTTAGGTGACATCTGCTAGTAGCATGTATTAGTTCCAGAATTACCACAGTTATCCAATAAGATTTTCCGATTAAACGATGGGCGCGCGTGGCGCAGTGGTTGGAGGCGCCACTGCAACACACACGTGGAATCTATCCCTGTGCCCATGGTCCACCAAGCCTTCCATCATTCCGGGGTCGGCATATTGGTACCAGACTAGTCTGGGAGAGTAGTAGCTCTGACTGGGTACATCGGTAGGCCACGGCGAGGCATTGTAAAGCCCAGATATGCATTCAATCACCTCCAAACGTTGCTAATGCATGGCGCATCCCTCAGGAATTGGTCAACGCCGAAAACTTTATCCTTTATCCTTTATAGCAATCTCGTTTAAGCTGAACAGTCTAAAGAAGTATATTGATTATTCACGTCTGGGTTGAGTGAAAGCCTCGGTTTGGTAAGTTAGCACAGTGTACAACTTTTTATTTACTGCCTATAACTTTTTTTTATGGTAGCCTATTATGTGAAATACAGCCACAATAAAACTGATATATTTGCAAAACTCAGACTCTAGTCCAAAATTGAACCCGCGATTTCCGGGGACTTACGTATTAGCCACTGCAATACTTAAGCCTTTGTTTTGCCCTTCTCTCAGCCAACAGGAATGATCTGGGGAGCACAAATCGACATTAAACCCATTTAAGCCGAGGAGGAAACGGTAATTGTGGGTCCGAATCTGGCCTGACGTCCGAGCTTTGCAAATATTTCAGCTTCATTGTAGTTATCAGAGCCTTCTAGGTATGTTAGCTAGTCTAGAAGACCAAAAATTACTTCGTCGTTTAAAGCAGCTTTTGTATTCGATTCTTGTCATCGCATTCATTATCCACGAAAAATTCCTGGTTTTGCATGTCGATTCAAATGCTGCTGGAATATTTGCTAATCTTCATTGCTGGCCTTGCTGGTTGAGTAATCTCTCTCAGGAATCCTGGCATATCCGTGCTAGACTGCTCTCATATTTTCATCACATGCAGCCCTCGGTTTTTGAATATCAAAAGGAGCGAGTTGATCTCAGACATATCTGGTATGAATTTTTCGATTCCATAGAAAATGCGGAACTTGGTTGGCCGAAGTGGGGTCAAGTCAGAACCATGTGTATATTCAACGGCATCGTTACAACTGCACTATTAGTGCCTTATTCCTTTTTTCTTTGGAAGGCCCGTCTTTCATAGCTACTGTGCGGATCTCAGCACTTCTCGCACTCGATTCGTTTCCTCACACCCATTATTCACGGAGTTCTCCCAACTTTTGAGTGTGGCTCCGGCTGCTGCTTGAGGATTTCCATTTCATCTTGAATGTTGTAGAATGCTGGTCGAGTCGATTTTTGCTGGAGTCCTGAGATAGCCGAGGTGGATCGTTTCCAATTGATTTGCAGAGAACGATTTTTTCCCAGACAATTCCGATACCAATTTTCCGATCTCAGAGGAGTAAGAGACGTGATGAGCACGTTGCGTGATCGAACCAGCATCATGGTCGTGATGGTCAGCACTAGTACCACTGTGCTTCCCGTACCCTGCGCTATTCGTATTTCGTTATCTCTTGTTAATACGAAAGTTCATTATTTGCTCTGCAGTTTAAAGGTTTTTTTTTATCAATTTTTTCAAGTACTGGCGATTTGTTTTCTAAACACGTCATGTTCACGTAGGGTTACAGCGGACCACCCCTGTAATACCAAGGTTGCATTTGGATATGGAACCGCTAATAATTGTAATAGATGATTTTGATTTCACAAACTTCATGATGGAGATGAAATCCTTGATGGCGATAGGACAAGTAGAGATGGAGACAATTCGCTACCGTCGACGTTGATCATGATCTGGAACACGTCAGATGAAGCAGGTCTTACACAAGAGTTTTAAATTTTTTTTAGAGGACCAAAGAAATTGGGACAACAACTTCAGAAAAGCTTAGATAAATTGGAATGTAAAAAGCAACTGACCAAATTCACTCCGTACGAGTGAAATGAATGGCGAAGTGATCGTCGTTAAGAGGAGTATTTCATTCCTTCAAAGAACAAAAGAAGAATATGAAACAGGCAAAGCTAATCCTGGACAAGAACCTACAGCGTTCTACGTAAATGTGTACAAAGATTCATTATGGAAATCTTTATCCAATGCAAATTTTCATGAATATAAGGTAGCAACGTTTCCGTACTCGGTGGGTAGAATCATTCGCT